TTGGTGAAGCCAGAAGGCCTCAAGGAAGTAACGTTGAACCACAGCAAGTTTGGCACTAAAAATGGGCCACTTCGGCTTAGATTTTTGAGGCGGCAACACACAAATTAAACCCACCACCTCCCCATCTCCACCATAATTTTGGACTATGAATTTAGCTTTTACTGGTTTAAGGGCGGGAACTACCTGGGAGCGACATGCAGTTTCCGAAGTAAACAAATAAACAATTTAGGCGACTTATCTCGCAGTGATTATAACGTAAAGTTAGTCGTTAGTAATGTTTCATTTTGTTTTTCTTAAACACTATGCCAAGCACCCTCTTGTTCTGGTGGGGCTTATTCCAACCGCCTGTTCAAGCGGTGGAAAAAACGGCGTGCCTTATGTAAGTTTTTCTTAAGTTGTAAAGGATAAATAGAATCACATGACTATGAATCATAGGACAAGCACCTACTGGTTCCGGTGGGGTTTGTTTGCATGGCAAGTGTGCCAAGGAATTCCAACCTGCTATGCCAAGTGTGGCAAGTCTTTCTGCTAACAACTTTGCCTTTTTCTGCCAAGTGTGGCAAGCCTTTAGCGAGTTTGTTCCTGTTTTTCTGCCAAGTGTGGCAAGTATCTCTTTGGCAAGTGTGCCTGAGTTTCTGCCAAGTGTGGCAAGTATGGCAAGTGTGCCAAGAAATCTTACAGAATTTCTGCCAAGTGTGGCAATAGAAAGTGGCGTTGAAATCGGCAAAAACAAATAAACTTGCCGCTAGAAATCTTTGCCAAAAACCAAAACATGGTGTCTATGTGTGGTTTGTGCACATATAGTTGGAGAATAAATTACAAATGGCAATCAAGGTTCAATTCAAAATAGAAAAACCCGGAGCAGAGACCAAAATCGGTGTTTTCACATTTACGAGTGAAAATAACACAGTCTTCTCTAAAAAAGAGATTAAAGAAGTTTTAAACCAACAATTTGCCAAACATTTAGAAGACCTGAAAGCTCATGAACAGAAAGGTTTGGGCTGGGTCTTTGAAAAAGTAGTGGCGTTTTATGGTGAAATATAATCCAGTCAGTGCTACTTATATTCCACTCGCAAAGTATTTGGCAGTAAAAACTGCAATTATCAACGTTCAAAATAAAGAGGACTAAGAGTGCATTCGCTGGGCCTTGCGAGTGTTTTTAAAATTATATTCAGACAATGTCAAACAACAGTTAGAAACGAATCCAAATTACAAAATAAATCATTAACGAGCGTATCTCAACCTTCACTAAAGAAGACGGCTTAAATTTTACAAATATAAGCTTTCTCACACCAATTTCACAAATTCCTCGCATTGCATCATAAATAATTTAGCCATCAATGCATTTGGCTACTCGGAGAAAGAAGGCACTTATGTACTTTACAAACCTAAATGCGAAAAAGAGCCCATGAATTTACTTTATTTTACGCAAGGCGAAACGAGTCATCATTGCTGGATTAAAAACTTTTCACAGTTAATGGATGACGTTGATAAACAAAGTCACAAAAAATATTGGCTGTTCAAATGCCTAACACATTTTCAAACACAAAAAAGATTAGGCATGCATCAAGAAGATTGTCAAGGAATTGACACAGCGGCATGCAAGGTTGAATTACACGCTAAAGGCAAAAATATTCTCAAATTTGAAAATTATAAAAACAAGCAAGACGCTCATTTTATAATCTACGCAGATTTCGAATCTGTTTCGGAACACTTGCCGCCGAAAGAATTAAACACAGTTAAAACGCAAGTTCACAAGACCTGTGGTTGTTCTTATGCGGTTGTCAGATGAAATGGAATTCGCACCGGTCGCGGGACTTACAGAAGTCCAGACACGGCAGTTAATTTTGTGCAATCGCTTTCTAGAGAAGTTGCCAAGATCAATAAAACATTTTTACCAATCCAAAGCTGATTATTTGGTCGCACGAATTGCGAAAGATTTACGAAAATTCTAACACATGCTGGATCTGTGAAAAATGCATTTGCAAAACTAAAGAATTTCAGTGCCGGTGCCAAGTTCCAAATGAACCAAAAACTAAAGACAAAAAAGCTTCCTTTAGTTCAGGAAACGAAAGCGGTTTTTGGGATTATATTTGTATGACTTGTGAAAAGCCCATTAATAAATTTTGCAAAGTTCGCGACCATTGTCATGTGATGGGAAAGTACCGAGGTCCAGCACACGCTCAGTGTAATGCTAAGTTACGAGGAGTGCCCGGCCAAATGCCCGTTGTCGTGATTTTGCACAATTTAGAGAAATACGACGCTCATTTAATTATGCAAGGTGCTCAAGTGTTTAACGAAGGTACAATTAGCGTCATTGCTAAAAATACCGAGGATTATATTTCATTTAGCTTCGATCAACTCCGGTTCTTGGATTCGTTTCATTTCATGGCGGCGCCGCTCGATCGATTGGTTAAAAATTGTTCCACTTAAGATTTTAACCTGCTCCGCGAAACGTTCCCAAATTCCACGGATTTACTTTTAGAAAAGGCAATTTACCCGTATGAATATATAGACTCGTTTAATAAATTTGAAGAAACAAGCCTGCCCCAACGAGCTGCTTTCTACAGTTCGTTGAGGCATATGTCTATTTCGGAGGAAGAATATTCACGGGCTGAAAAAGTATGGCAAACATTCAATTTGCCGTAATCTCGGAGATTATAAAGATTTATACGTTTAGACGGACGTACTATTATTAGCAGGCGTATTTGAAAACTTTTGCAAAGTGTGTAAAGTAAATTATGGCCTTGATCCAGCCAATTATTATACTTCGCCTGGATTATCTTGGGACGCGTTGCTAAAACACTCCGGCATTGAATTGGAATTATTAACAAAGAGGCGCCATTTCAAGTGTGTGTGCATATCGCTATGCTAAAGCGAATAATCCGGATTTAGAAGATTATAACCCTGAGAAACCGGCGTCACACATCATGTATTTAGACGCGAATAATTTATTATTATAATTATACGGTTGGGCAATGAGTCAGCCTTTGCCTTTAAACACTTTCGATGGGTTTACGATGTGACCAAATTTACTCCAGACTAGATTTTGAAAATTTCCCCAAAAGCATTTAAAGAATATATTTTAGAAGTGGCTTTGGACTATCCAAAACATTACATAACAAGCATAACGATTTCCCACTGGCACCAGAAAATTTAATAATCCCAAGTGATTGGTTCTCAGAGTACCAAAAAGATCTTATAGCAAATGGTGAGCGATTTATGTCCATAGATAAAGTCGTATCCACTTTAAACACCAAATACAAATATGTAGTTCACTATCGCAGTTTACAAAAATATCAAGAACTCGGTTTAGAGTTAAACAAGTACACCGGGTAAGGTAATTTAAACAAGCTCCATGGATGAAGAGTTACATCGATAAAAACACAGAATTACGTAAATTGGCAAAGTCTGATTTTGAAAAAAACTTTTTCAAATTGATAATTCAGTTTTTGGTAAAACTATGGAAAATGTGGGCTATCGCATGGATGGGCATTTATTGCGAGACTCGCACGACGCTGACAATTATTAGAAGCTAAATTTTAAATCAAATTATAAATCGACTAATCCATTTAAAGAATGTGACCTTTCATTTGTCAAAATGTATCCCATAAAAACAAAGCTAAATAAGCCAATCTATTGCGGTGTAAGTGTATTAGACTTGTCCAAAACTTTAATTTCTATTATAACACGTTAAAAACGGACTTCGGTTCAAATGTGTGTTTTTTATACACTGACACAGATTCTTCATTAGTTCAAATTCAAACCAGCAATTTAACCAAGTACCTGTGTAAAAAATGTAAACTGTTTAACTTTAGCAATTATCCACTGGATCATAAACTTTACGATCCAAAAAATAAAAAAGTAAAAGATGAAGGATGAATTTGGAGGTCAAACAATTTCAGAGGTCATTTGCATTAGGCCGAAAATGTACTCGATTTTAACCGATTGAGAAAATTTTAAAAAGGCGAAACGAGTTTCAAAAGTAGTGACGCAAAAACGCCCAACTCACGAGGCATATGAAAGTTGTCTATTTGAAAAAACGCAGCATTTCAATAGACAGCAGTTATTCAGATCAGATAAACATTTAATATTCACGATTTTGCAAAATAAGTGTCTCGCCGCTAGATACGAAACTTTACATATTCGGATGGGTACTGTTGTACATGTAAGTGTCTGCAACACAATACATGATACCAGTACATTACATGAACTCAATTTACTTGAAACTGTAAATATGGTAGCAATATCTCTCACATTAAATTCAAACGATAAATTACATGTAAACCAGTTACCCCATCATCTGCACTCAAATATTCATCACTGTTGCTGGAAAGTTGCGGGTTGAGTGAGCTGTCTGGCCATTCACAATGCTGCACGCTTTGTGTCACAAAGCTTTCTGAGCTCTCCTTGGCATAATAGAAGCTCTGTGCCAGAAGTGTGGCTATCAAAATATCCGATGACTGCAATTCAGATGCCTTGCGACTAATGTGAAGAAAACAAAATAAAGGCCAGTGTCTACTAAAATTAAAGGGAATGTTCAATTAAGGTGGGTGTAAGAGTAGTTAGTACTTCATAGGAATGCCATCTTTAGCTTCACTCCTTACCAGCTGTCATGTTCTTCTATTTTATTTTGGCTCAGATTTGGTAATACATGTAGTAGCCTTTCATCTAAGACCATTGTAAGGGGTTTAGCTGCCAAAATTTGAGACATGCTGCAATTTTAAATTAATTGGAACATATCTGTGCATATTTAAACAGCTAAGAAAGAAAAAAACAACTTCTATATTCATATCAAAATTGTTGTAACCCCATGTACGTGTGTGATTTGAGTGTGATGGGGTTTATATACCCCATCACACTCAAATTACGTGCTCAAAAAATTGGGCGAGTGTGGCCAATCGTGGTGAGATCTTGTACATGACAGTAAGAACTCAGTGAAAACTGACAGTAACATGGTAGGGTCTTCATGGACAGGGAGGCTGTGCCATAAATTTTGAGCATGAAAATTTATATTGCAGGGTTGTAGTGCCTTCAAATTGCACAGACAGTGTATTAACAGCCTAGTAAAGATGGCGTACACATAGTCTTAGTGTACAAATATGTATAAGCATTGTAGTAGGATCTTTATAGACATGGTACAAGTTCAGCTCAATCAGGAAGAATTCTATGCTGTTCCTATGATGTTCTTGGAGGAAAGCAAGTTGCAGAAGAGCAGCATCATGTCCATTCATCTTGGAGGCTGGATGAGAACTAACCGGGTGCACTGTTTCAGCCAATATATATAGGACATGTTTGGAAATGGCTGCTTCGTGCAAATATACCGCACACGTCTTTCACACAGCAACAACAAATAACCATCGTACCATGATATTTTAGGACATAGTTTAATTGTATCAAAGTCTTTTACATCATGGAATGATCCAACTGTATCGTAACAGAGTAAGGACTCACACCAATTCTAATCTGTTGCCCTTTACAGTATACACATGCAGACTTTACATCGTACAAGCGTCTGCTCTTTGATTGGTATACGTCTCATAATTTTCACTGCTTCTTTTTCAATGATGTGGGGGCATGTGGCCAGGTGTTTAGGGTCTGTGGCTTCCAACCACAGGGTTGGAGGTTTGTATCCAGCTGCTGGCAGTATGTTGTGGCCCTTGGCAAGCCACTTCACCCCTGCTTGCGTCTCTCCACATAGGAGTATAAATGAGTACCAGTATTTGCTGGGGAAGCAACCTGCGAGGAACTGGCATCCCATCCAGGGGAACAGAAATATTTTCAGTCGTTTCATGACAAGGAAACTGGAGATAAACACTGGGGTAATGAGCCCAATTGGCTCAGACCAGACTTGCTTCTTTTTTCCACCAATGATGTATACATCCAGTTCTTGTATCTTGCCCCTTTTATTTATTGCCTAGTTTCATTGTTGTTTAATTACATATATTAAGCTGACAGAGTTTTGTTTCCTTTTAAAAGTTCTCTAATCTGAGGAATACACTTTCTTTCTGAAACATGAAAACTTATGACAACCATTCAGTTTCCCTTTGCCATTTAGTTTTTTTTAACTTCTTTCGTTTTCTTTGGTTTTCGTGAATTTTTTGGAAGTTACAAAAGATTCTTCATCTCCCCCAAATTATTTTTTTCATTTCCTTCAAAGGTCGAGTTTGATTTCCTGTTTTGTTTTCTTTTGTCCCATTTATAAAGTAATTGAATACATAATTAGTTCAACTGGATTTTCTCCCATTGAAACATTTTTCACTGTTACATCCACCGTCACTGTGAATTGTGCCATACATGTAGAAAAACACTGTGTTGAATATTTTTTAATCGTGCAGCATTCTGTACTGTTTGTCTCTGCAAATGGGCCCTCACAGGTTTGTACTTACCTTGAATAGAGAGCTAACAACTTGGCATCTACCATAAGCATTGCATGCACAGCATATTTCTCTCCAACAGAGCGTAGTCTGCGTAGAACAGTTTCTAATGCACCAATACAGATTTCATTGACTGTCTGGTTGACCTGTAGTCTCTCTATTGCCTATAAATATAAATAAAATAATCATGTGTATCATATTGTACCGCTACCATGAGCTTATTGTGTAAAATATTCTGTTTTTAGACTAGTATTATATTCAGTTCAAATAACAATTACAAACTGCTGTGATGAGGTATGCCATTTTGTGTTGCTGCAAAAGCACACAGAAACTACGTGATAAAAACTAATTGATACATATACATGTATGTAGTTAACTGGAAATTTAAGATCATGGCCATAAGATCAGGTATCTTTTCAGCTTCATGTAGGTTAGCCAACCAAAAACATTTCATCCTCTCTTACAAAATGCCCCTAGCATACACATAGTAGTCAAACTCCATGCTCAGATTTGAATGTAACTGCCAACATCTATGCAAAATAGACCCACAAGTTGGAACCCACAATTCCAAAATCAAAATGTGCTTTCTTGCTTTGATATGGAGGGATGATACAGGTGGCCACTTTATTTCAGCTGTTTATAAAAAGGTTCAGGCAGTGTGAATTAAATTCGTTACAAGATGGAATTGAACCTCTTCTTCCACAGAATTACAGGGCAAAGAGAAGACAACCCCCCAAAAAGGACAGGATGACAGAATTGTTAATTCACACTCTCTACTTTCGTTTCCCATTGCATTGGGGGAAGGTGCTTTGCAGGAATAAAAATTGAATACATGTACATGTAATTTCAGACCTTTTTCAATCATTTGGATTAAATAATCTGCCCCCTTTCCCCAAACACACTTACAAAAAGGGCACAATATACATTTCTCTGTTCTGCAATCAAACATGCTCATTTCTGGAAGCACTCAAATGCGGAAGTGCGCAGATCGACGCTAAAAGTGTCGTATTGGGATCCCTCTATAGTAAGCAGTTCAAAATCGGATGGATGTACATCCATGGATTAGCCAACAAGATAGTTTTATCTGCCCTTCCCCAAAATACATCCAAATATTAGTTGAACATTGCGCCGTCTAAATGCAATCGTGGAGTAATAGAACA